CGACTTCTAAGCGATACTGGAACTCATAAAGAATGGCGACTCAACAACTGTGGGGTTCTTGTTTGCTTACGCATGCTCTGACCGTGGGGGTTTGCAGGTGCTCTGGTGTGGTTTTCTCCTGTCCTTCTTTCTTATAAAACATCTATCGTCCTTACCACTCCTCCTTTTTTGTGTTTGTTACTCTCTTGTAACACCTCTATTCACACGTTGACGCACGCATACAGTCACACATACAAACACACACACATACATACACACATGCACGCACGCGCGCATTAACACACACACACACACACAACACACACACAAGCACACACACACACACACACACACACACACACACACACATACACACACACACGTTCACGCGCATGTGCGCAAAGACATAACAAACATACGGGTGCGCACATAATCATTTGAACTTCCTTAAATAAACATTTACAGGCTCTAGAGAGCAGCACCTCAGGTTATAATGGCAGGATATTAATGGTACTTCTGGAAATGTTGACACGAGATTTCTTTTGAACGTTTCTAAGAAAGTGATAGGTCCTGGCTCTTCAGGCAATAAGTTTCATACTGGTGGGCCAGAGAATTAGATTAAAGAATTGGTAAGAGTTTTATGACACTAGCGAGACAGGTCATATAAGTGCCGCATAATAGAGGTGTTACAAGAGAGTAACATAACAAAAACACAAAAAAGGAGGAGAGATAAGGACGATAGATGTTTGATAAGAAAGAAGAAACAAACCACACTAGATCAACTGCCAACCGCCCACGGCTAGATCATGGGAAAACAAACACGAAACCAACAGTCGTTGTAATTGTTATTGTACGTGTTTTGTCCCCCGACAATTTAGAGCATTAAGGAGGCGGACTGTTTTGACTGCCTGTTACGGCAAAACACTGGTTGAGGTGGATACAACTTCCTAACAGGCAAATGGAGCTATTAGATTTATAAAACAAATATCCTCGCACAGAAATCGAACTCAGGTCTTCTGCAGACAACGGCGAAAAGACTTACATCACTACAACGTACCGCTGATTTGATAATTGGTTTACGACGATGACGGTCAGATTTTTCTTCAAAGAAGACTAGTACGGACTTATCACTTATATAATGAAGAAATCAACCCTAAAAAAAAAGAATAAATACTGAAAAAGCCGAAGTAAGCAGCGGCGCAACCACCCGGTATATCTCACAGTCCACCCTAAGCCAGTCGAGCAAAAAGTGGATTTTGACGTCACCCAGGGCGTCAACGTTGTGAGGCTGGCATCTACGCACTATCAAAATGTTAACAACGCCTCTACATAACTAGAATCATCCACTTTTAAATCCTAATTTCCCTCCCTCCGAGCATAATAGACGTAGACGATACTTTGCATAAATCAACCTCGACATAAGTGCCCAGTCATCGCGAACAACTGTTAATGGATAGTTGGTTCTGAAAGTAATCATCATCTCGCGAGATAGATAGTGTTATAACGTAGCGAAAGGGATGGAGTCGAACGTGTAGTAAAGATTGCTTGGCACCCAATAACAAAAACACCGAACGAGGTGCTTTGAACGGAACAACTGAGACAGCACAATAAATTACCATTTTGAAACGAATCATCTGTTGTCTTTTTGATCATTCTGATATGGAAATATAAAGTCAAGTTCTCTTGTAGTTTGGAATTTGAGTTAACGTCGAGTAAACACGACAAGGACGACTCTTTTCCACGGACGCCTGAGACAGAAACAAGAGACACATAGAGAGTTTACTGGAAAAGTACAATGGAACAGATCACACAAAGGAACTGCATTTCTGATGCTGAATTTTTACCTGAGATGAGCGTAGAGGGAAAGGAGTCCCCCCCCT